CCTTATTTGTCATCCCCATCTTCCAGATAGAATCATGGAGTCCCGTGAAGAAATATGCCCTCATTCCTTTTGAAAACCACGTACGAAACTGAATAAACTCTATTCAATTGGAGTTTCAGTAAAGACACGTGCTCGCAGGTTCTGTCGTCTGTTTTCTTAGGTGGAGAGAAGAATACTACTTCTCTCTACCGTAGGAAGTGGCCGTGCAATCCAACGACGTATGTGGGGCGGGCCATAATTTATGCAGATCCCCACAGTACTGGTATTAATAATGCATTTGTCCCTACCATCGAAAAACCTCTTATCTGTTTTGGATTTACACCGAAATGCAGGGGTATTCTCTCTTTTGGAGTATTTGTTGACAGTATAATATCAAGGGAAGCAGAAGAAAACGGAATCCATATTCACTACATCCTTTTGATTGCTCCAAGCCCTGGCAACGAAAGGGATTGATCGGGCCTGTCCAATTCCATTCCGGGAAATCGCAGGAAGTTTCGATTTGGAGAAGGAAGATCCCTTGCAGCCGAGGTCGCCTGGTCTTTCTTGGCCTCTCGTCTCGCACCTTCCCCCAAGACCCTGCCTCGTTTTTCTGCTTGCTAGGACGCGAATTCATCCCGGGGAAGGTGATGTCTCTGCGCTGGCGGGGACTCGGTATCCCGGGCGATTTTATTTTTTTTTCCCTGCGGAGATACCACACCGCTCAGCTTCTTTTAAAATTTATAATGATGTATTTGCATATGCGCCTTGAAACGAATAGCACACCAGAGTGCTTTGAAAGGGTGCGCAGATCCCGTCTTTCTTCCTCTTCAACACTTCACTGGCACTTTGAAATGGATTGAGAGCCAACTTGAAATTTCCTGGAATGGCACGCAATAATGCAAAAGCTATCGGAATCTAAACCAAACTTGGTTACAATTTCAGGTTTACACGAATGAAAACGTACTATTCTCTCCATTTTGAGGCAGTGTAATTTTTGGAAGCTTGACAGAAACGCGGCGAATAGATGGAAAACAAAGCGGAAGGCATTTAGGCAGTGCTTTGATCATTTTATGGGTGAAAATGAAAATATATTAAATTTCGAGTCCAGATTCAGATGGTTGACTCCATTTCACGTGAATCCCGATGAGTTCCAGTTCCACCCCCGTGAAGTTTGGAAAGTTGAAAAAAATCGGTCGGACGAGTGGAGAAAGTCTCTATCAATCGGATTCGCACTTATTTGCCTGCAATAGGATGAGCTGCTTCTGGTATTCCACCAGCTCCTTCAGGGAAGAAGAGATGCTCTTGAGTTCCCTCAGGATCGGCCCTTGCGCCACCAGCAGCGTTGCGGAAATGTCGCTCTCGCTCGGCGCCGCGTTCCCGCCGACTGGGTTCGAAGGATAGCAAGGGAGGCACGACGATTGCCTGTTCCATCCGAGGCCGCTGCGCCCTTCGGTGTTCTGCGAGGAGGTCGATGGGACTGGGTAAGGGGTCGATGGCGTGGCTGGGTCGTCGTCTCTCGATGCGAGCGTCACTTCCGTCGGTCCTGTCCAAATAATGCAATTTTGAAGAGTGTGAATCGACGTTGCGATTGTCCCAGTGCTCGAGACACCTAAGTCGATGAGCGATCTATCGTTACCAGTGCTTGCTACGGAACATCTAATGAATGAGAGGCAGGGGGTCACTCGGTCGAACCAGGTCACTGATCTTCCATGTCTCTGCCTACAATTTCTATACTTTCAGGACATTTCGAAGCATGAATTTGTCCTGAAATACTGAATGCACAGTGCTACGTGGAGACGATGAGACAAAAGGATACCTGCCACCGCAAAAAGTACAGCATTTGCACGACTTGGACATCTTTTTTGCGCTGTGCCACGTTCTACGTTACTTTGAATTCGAGTCAGCGGAACGAATGCCCCCCAAACGAAAAAATTACGACTATAATGAAGAAACGAAAACTCAGACTCATGGAACACAACGAACACGTGAGGGCACAGAGAGCAACAGAGCAGGTGAAGCATAAATTTGGAATGAGCAATTCTGCACGAGCGAAAAACGTTTGTCAGATTCATCCTGTGGTTTTAATTATGTAAAAAGTTTGGGTTCTGAACTCACTGGGTGTCGCCGTGGAAGCATTTTGCTGTTGTCCGGCGGATAGGAAAGGCCTGCGAACGAAACTATGCACTTCTGCTTTGGTCGGTCTTCCGACGATCGCAAGGACCTTCGCATCCGTCTGGGACTGTTGACGGTGTTCCATGCCCGCATTTCTCTGAGCGATGGCCAGCAGATAGCGTCGCTTCGCGGCGTGCTTCATCTGCACGAACTTGGTCTTCGCTTCGCTTCCGGACCGTTCGGTGCCGGTCGCGGAGCACATGGCGAAGGCGACGACTTCCCAGGCCCTGTTCTGCTTCGTCTGGGTGTTCGCCTGGGTGACTGGGCCCAGCAGCACTTCCTTTTGTTTCTTCACCTCTTCCAGGAGCACGTTGATTTCTTCCGGGGCGAACCTCGTCCGCCGAGGCGTCGCAGGTTCGCGACTCACGACGAAAGGAGTTGCCATGATGGTGTCAGTCGACGCAATTAACGGTAGGAATGCGATTTGAAGACGAAAGGACACGAAACACCGAGACCGGCACAGGCATGAGTGGAGTGACTCACAGTATCCACTGAATCATGGCACCCTGCATCATAACGACTCGTCGACCAAGGACAAGAAGATAGACATTCCGTGTGTGTGGAGCTTATAGTGGCATCTTTCCGCCAGGGATGTCCGATGTCCTCGTTCGTCATTTGGCTTCCTCGACCCGGTTCTCACCACTCTTCTCCCTTTTTTCAAGACGTTTCCTAATGCATGACAACCACTGCAGACCTGGGCCGCGCAAAGCTGTACAAATTTAAGGGGAGGGAAGGAAAGCCGTGCTTTGACTAGCGATATGTTCCAACGAAGAAAGAACCCAGTCAGCAATTTATCCCCGGGTCAAGTGTGGCTATATCCGCTAAGTCAGCTTTTCCAAGCTTGGCCCACTGATGTACGCATGGCAAACGGGTGGCAGATGCATGAGGCGTAACCTAAACGTCCGCGTTTCCTGTGGCACTTCGTCTAGTACATCTGTGGGTCAAGTTTGGCTTATGTGCACGGTGCAACCGCGACAAGCAGAGCCAAGATTACGTGTCCGTGTGCAAGCATGCTACGAACGCGATGCATGAATGTGCCGCGCCAGATATGTCCGCTTTTTCTGTGGCAACCCGAAACCCACAATGGTGGAGACATTTCTATCTGCAGTACATATACTGTACTGCCGGTCCTATTACTTGTATCATCCCCTGCCCGTACACGAGTCTGTCCCATGGTTAGGTTCGAGACATTGGACCGTACAGGAGGTAATTTTCCGCGTAATGTACTAATTACAGAGCATTGCGGGGAAAAGAGCACCACAATGTGCTGTACACGAATTCAATACCTAATTTCATGCCTTCATTCAAGACGAGGAAGCGGTGGAAGGACTTCACGGACACAACGTTCGCAAACTCCTCTCGAACGTATTCACCTTTCAAGGTCAAGGTTTCTTATAGGGAATTAGAGCTTGTTTATGGCCTGGGCTCCATGAATCGGTCTTGAATAAGGGGACAAGAAATGACGAAGTAGTAAACACTCCTGCAAGGGACGATTCCAGGGAAGAAGTGCTGGACGAAAAAGCGAGACTCACATCTCCATCTTGTGGCACGGAGGAGAACTTTTCCAAAAACTTGTGCGTGCAGCTGGGGCACATTGGGCATCGTTCCGATATTTGATGATGGAATGGAAATTTTGGTAAAACATTGCTTCGCCATTATTCATGAGATGTTGGTGATCATTTTATATTAAAATTTTACTACGGAACTGATAAAAGCATATGTGCAAGTTTTAACTCTGCTTCAGTGAAACATCCATGTCAGGCAAGCGTGGGAGAAGTGTACAAAACCATCCAGAGCCACATATAGTCTAGCCAGTGAAGAGCCACAGGAACGCTGATCTACTCCACATACTCTGCAGACTGGGAATGAGAGAAATGATGATGAGACTCTCCACAATGCAACAGCTAACTCAGAGAAATATGCAAGATTGACCACTTCGGACACAGAACGAAAAAATTCCCAAGCGGAATAATGACATTAACATATGGCGATCCACCAACACTAAAAGGAAAATATTCAATGGAGGCCGAAAATCTTACCCATTCTCCAGTATGCTTCCTAGTTGCATTACTACAAGAAAATGCAAGACTTCCCCTCTATACCAAACTAACAAGAAAGGCAGTGACTTTGCAGATTCGAAGTCCGATGAATCGCAGACATCGAATTAACAATTTCAGATCACTGTGCCCAGATTGAGGGTGATCCACGACCGAAGGAAAGATTGCAGTCTCCATTTCGACAGACTGCTTTGGCTCATCCGAGCCTCCAGGTCATGGGCGTTGCTTGTGCGAAGTGTTATAGGTTCATGGGGTTGCATCTGACAAGAAGTCACTATTGTGACGCCGCTCATCGTAGCACTTAGATAAACGGGAAAGTTCAACACTGACTGAATGTTTAACATCGTAATAACATTCCATCATTGCTACATGATCAATGAATGAAAACTTCACAACGATAGAGTGGTACATCGGAAAATTGAACTATATTCGTAATATCGCTTATAGACACAATTAGAAATCAAAGAAAACATAATGTTCATCAACATTTTTGGGAAAATCCTTAAACGCTTATTTAAGGTTTTCAACAGATTTTTCAACTCTCCACTAAGCTCTCGGCCCTGAAGTTAATTCTCATGCAATGTGGCAGGGAGGAGGGAAAAATGAAAAAGAAAACCTCTAAATATGAAAACAGCCTTTCCAATTAAATAGAAACACCAAAAATCATTCCAAAGAAATGGAACTTTAATCTTTTGCGAGTTACATGGAAAAACGTTCTCATTCGTCCTCGGAAACGCTGCGCTGGGGGCGATCGCCACAGTTCACTTGGCCGGCGTGATTACAGGTCAGCAGGCATTGATCCCAAAGAGTCCCTTCTGGACAGTCCTGGGGGAAAAAAGGAATGGATATTTACATTTTGTAATTTTGTCCTTTAGAAGGCCAGCTTGGACGAGATCTTTGTGGATTGTCCCTGCCTTTGCTGCAAGAGCAAATGTCAGGAAGCTGGCTATGGCCACCGTGAATCTCATATTGACTGCAACAAAAAATAATCGTGCTGAAGAATGGAAATGAGTTTCATGATGGAACTGCATCACTGAGAAAGTCCCTTGAACTATTTACATGAATACCTAAATATTTGACTCCCACGAAAAAGTTTCTATTTCTAATAGGAATGTGCTTCCGTAAATACATGTAAAATTAAGAAGGGCATATTGGGAATTTATTCATAAATCTTTTTTTTTTGTTTTAGAATTTGAATTAAATGCTAAATTCAAAACATAATCTCACCCGATCATCGTGGATAGACTACATCTTAGCTCCTAATTCATTAGGATGCTTTGGCTCGTGGTTCAAACAATTTACATCGGGACCTACTTAATTTTGCAATATTCCTTAACAATGTTTTTTCCTAAGCATGTAAAGAAAAAGAGAAACCGATGTAAGAATGTACTCTTTTTAAATCAATTTGCTAACTCCGAACATAACGTTAAAGCCATTGGTGTTTATTCCCAATAACGTTAATCCTGCATTTTCTGGTTCTTCATTAAAAAACCCTTGGAAAAAAAAACAAACATTCACATTCCCAGCTTGAGTGGTCGTATTTTCCATGGGTGCTGCCAGGTAAATCGTAAATCCGTAAATTGAGTCCCATTATCACATTTCTTCCATTACTTGTCGAGAATCCGTTCCCTTTTTCGATTATCCGTCTAGTCGAATTTCGTGGTTCGAGTAGCTTTTTCTATTTTTACGTTTCTGTAATTCAAACCATTTATTTCGTAGAGGAATCTTTAAAGCATGAATACGTTTTCCATCATTATACTTTTTCATGAGAATTTTAATTAGCGCAACATTTCACGTCCCAACCGTGAGATCAGAAAAGTTAACGTCTAGAGAATATACTGTAGTTTATGCTATAATGATTCAGGTCAAGATGGTTATGAGAAAGTTTCGATAGAAACATTATTGCTATGCCCTGATGCTTAGTAACATCATGTAGGATCAAATCGTAAAAGTTATGATCCTGCCATGTTTTTACTTGTGCAAATGGATGAACTTTTCCAAACAGTCCATTATTTTAAACATAGTGGAACCCCAAATGCGCCACAGACCAGAAGAAAAACCTGAAGGAAATAGGCATATCCTTCTTCACCTTTCATTATTTTCTCTGAGAAGGCCATTGGAGTATTCCCCTCCTTCAAAGCCAAGCGTGCCTTACTGAACTGTATTAAGGGTACCTCTCGAGCTGGGAGCGTTTTTTCTTACGAGTCGCTCATAATGCTGCACAGTATAGGCACAGTGTGCCTGTGCCCAATTTAACTCAATGTATGCTTGTCGTTGTGGCCGGTCTTTGGAGAGGAAAACTAATTCCTCGCAGTCGTCTCCATTACAAATCGAAACGTAATATGGAATACATTGTTGTATCTGAATTGGAATAACCTGTCTCCATGGAACATACTACACATGATTGCTCAATTTGGGAACCGTTATTGACATGAGCAAATTCTTCGAAAATTAGACATGTTCTCATGCATATAGAATCGATTAGAAGACGAGAAAAAGTTTCGTAATGGAAAAGGAACAGGAAGCGGACTCACCTTTCCTTTCAGCCGGAAAACTAGAGGTAATGCTGCAGACTCAACCAGGTTCCAACTGTACCGATGCTGCCCCTCCACGCCCGACTATTTAAGGCCTCCAACTTATCTCGGGGTAATCCCGCCGTTAAGCTCCTTGTTTGCGTCTGTTTTCAATTTCCATTCGAGCAGCATTTTCCTCGGACTCTTACCACCTGGATACCATTTTAATTTTCCCGCATATAAATCGATGCAGTCGAAAAGAAGTACCAAAAGTATCTACTTAGACTTGAGTGACCTTGTCTAAAAACATCTTCTCGACTGTCACTCGAACATGATCAGGTATGAGTTTCATAATTTATTGCTGCATGAGAATCTGAAGACTCCGACATTATTTTCGTTATTTACTTTGGCTATTCGAGTGTTTCCCATTTTGAAATACCTAACACAATACCCTTTTAGCACTAAAAGTGAGGTGAACCTAGAGTATGGATTGACATTTCAACATAACGTTGCTTGGTGTAACGGTGTAACGGCGTAAAAAAAAGTGGAGCATGAAAGCGCGTTAATATCCAACAGAGCGCGGAAGTACTCAATTGAGTGCTCTCATCCCGTGGAGTGATCCTTCAAGAGGTATCTTGCTAGTAACATTTTCTCGGGTGATTTCTTGACCTCTTAGTTTTAAAGTTTTCACGATCGAATTCACGAATTCAGGAAGCCTTTCATTACTATATTGTTCCTTCACGGATCCTGCCTGCATAATCCACTTTCACATATTAGACTTCATACCAAGCAGTCTTAGCGATCGCTAATCCCTATCCTAGCCAGGTAATTTATGATCGCCGGTATTAGTGGACTGTCCTTGGATACATCATCAAAGTCAACTTCGCATGCATCAAGTGCCGCCGTTGAGATGAGCCTATAATATTCGCTGTATGCATACAAACCCCAGTTACCTCATGAAGGTTTCCTATTACACACAGCATATTCAATCCATAAAATATATGTATTTTTGAGGATAAAAAAATGTACTCCATGTGATGCAATTAAAAGGCATCGGAATTTCAATGGACGAGGAGACCATGCATTCGCACGCGCTCAAGTGTGAATCCCTCAACAATGAATCCATTGCCCCGAGTGTTTATGAGGAGAGTTTCTTTGACACGATCAAGTGGAAGACGGAGGTCAACATGC